GGGGTTCTCAATAGAGGAGTTAGAGTGAAGACTGAAGGAGCTGAAAGTGTTTGTGGCACCATGAGGAGAGCAACAATACCAACCAACCACAGCTCCCAGGGTCTAAACCACCAGCCTGGGAGCACTTAGGGGGGGATCCAGGGCTTCAGCTGAATATGTAAAAGTGGAGGGCCCTGCTGGGCATAGGTGGAAGAAGAGAACCTTGACCTCATGAAGGCTGGATGCCCCAGGGGGTGGGAATTTTGAGGGTGGGGAGGTGGGAGTGGGGGGGTGTAGATAGAGGTTACATCCACAGAGAAGAAGGAGGAGGGGCAAGGGGATTGGGGGTTCCGAGGGGGTGGTGGGGGATGGGGTAAGGGGACAACATAGGAAATGTAAATAAATCATCCAATAAAAAAAATGAAAAAAAAAAGAGAAAAGGATATATATATATATAATCTATATGCATAATTATAAATATATGTATACCATGCTAAAAGTTGATAAAAATCTTCGTTATAAAGAGTATATTTTGGGAATAGATGGGAATTCCTTTCAGCTCACCCTGAGCTAGAATTTTAATTTCCAACTGTATATATGAGTCATCCATTAACTAAGCTACTTATTTATAGAAAGGACTTTTATTTAGGAGGATATCGATAGACACCTATGTTCTAAATATGAGTGTTAAATGTTACCTGTGTTGTCTCTGGTTATCAAACAATTTATGGAGGGCAACAGAGATAATGTGAGCTTTCTGCAGTTTACTACCAGAATATTCTTTGAGTCAGTGTTTGACTTGTGTGATTAATAACAACTAATATTTGGGGGTGGAGAAACGGCTCCATTGTTAAGAGTGCTTTCTGTTCTCCTAGAGGACCCAAGTCCAGTTCCCAGCATATAAAAGTCTGCTTTCAACCTCCTGGAACTCTACCTCCAGGGGATCCAACATCCTCTTCTGGCTTCTATGAGTAATACATCTATGTACACAAACATAGATACATAATTAAAGATAAAATATAATCTTAAATTTTGTTTATAGAAAGAATTACCATCTTATTCATTTTTGACGTCACCAAAATTTTATTTGGGGCTTACAATGTTCTTGACATTATACTAATGACTTTGCAACTGTGAACTCCTTAATCCCTGAAGTTGCCCTGGCAATGAAAGTGTTATTATCTCCAGTTTTCAGGTGACAGAACAGATGCTCTACTGGTAGATAAAGTACGTTTCCTGCACCTAAGCTGCCAGTGAATGGTCGGGATTGTTTACGTTTCATGTTGGTAATGGCAGTGATACAGGAACTAGCCTGACTGCCTCACAATAGTGAGAAGTTGACTCTATGACTCCCATTGGACCTTTACACAGATCTCTGAATGCTTTTGATAAAGTTCAACTGATATAGGAAAGTGTTTCTACTAAAATATATATCTAAGAACTTAGCTGTATAGGTGGTACTACCCCTTTTGTGAAAAAAAAACTAATTAAGTGAGATGGAAGAAAAATCCATAAATAAATATAACCAAAAATCAATGGTAACTACTTTGAGGCATAGATAATTTTGAATGTTTTTAATTAATTTATTTTTAACTCTGATCTTCTAAAATGAGTTATAAATGTTGCTTTAAAATAAAATTTGTGAGTTTTCTCCTTGTTATTGGCAAACAAAACAAGTAAGATACCTCATGAGAAAAAGTATTACAGTTTAAAATCTTGAACCACGGTGTCTGATTCATTATGATGCTGGTGTTTGTTATCCTGGCCGAGAAATCTTAGGGACATCTACTCTGCATACATTTATGGATGGTCAACGAGTCCTGCTAAAACTCCAACATTTGGGATCATTTATTTTTCCCAGGGCTGAAATGCTGTTAAACGTTTCAGTTTGCAAAAGTGTTAAAATGGAGAAGTGCAAAGCAAGAAAGTAGTAAATAAAGGGTGGACTAAACCCTGGATGGCCATGTGAATAGAGAACCTTCCATGGAAAAACGGAGTGTGCATTTCAACTATTAAAACTTAATTGTTTTATTGCTTTTTCTTACCCATCCAAAGTTCTGATTCACACAGCTAAGCCAAGGAACGTTTGAAGGCAAAGGATAACACGGTTGACATATTCCCGGTGACATATTATATCCACTTTTCTCTTGCCAGAAGTGCAGATAGCTACTGCTATCTGTGAGTGGGTCTGTTGTCTGAAAACTGTGAGTGGGTCTCTTGTCTGAAAACAAAAAGATTCATCCTGAAGCAGAAATGGATGCTGATGTGGGGACTGAGATGTGGGAGCTTGGTGCATTATCTGCTTGGATGAGAAATTTGAAAGAGATACTTGAGGTATCAAGATTATAGATATGTGTGTATGAGCACATGATTAAAATGTCACAATTACCCTCCCCCAGTAACCGTAATAAATTAGTTTCAGAATCCCAGCTTTTCTTCCTTAATACCCAAACCCAAGAATGCTCAAGTACCTCATTTAAAATGGTGTAGTATCTGTACATATCCCAGGTGCATCCTCTTACTTACTTTAATTCATCTTTACATTGCTGTATGATGGTTTCCTCCGGTCTGTTCAGTCTGACTTCAGTTGAATCTGTGGGTGGGGAACAGACAGATAAGAGCTGACTTTAAATACCAGAAACACTGAGCCCAATGGAAAAACTCTATCTTTGATGGTTGAGTGGAACCTGACAGGGGAAAGTTATTCCTTTTTGCCCCTGGATGAAGAGAAAGCCTCCATTGTGTTTTGAAAGTGATCACCAGACAATAAGGACACCACATATCTTTTTTGGTAAGACTGGACCAGAATCTGGTGGGTCCCGAATTCACTGTGTTAGTAAAGCTTGTGGACAAGGCATAAATCCACCCACAACTCATTGGCCCATGGGAACATTTCTGTCATGCTCAATGGCAACACTCTATCCATGGACTCTTTAATTGTGTCCCTTTGATGGCTGGAAAGTGTTTTCATTTTTTTTTCTTTAACTTTCTCTTCTCAATACACTAAATCCCTCTGATCCTTTGGGCTAAGCAGTGATTCCTCCAAGTCTTGACATTACAGATGGAGGAAGACTCTGCAGAGGAAGAAGCCACAGAGGGAGAAGCCAGGGCCTTTCCAGAGTTACTCAGCATTAGAAATCTTAAAAAAACAAAAAAAACCCAAAAAACTATCTTATGGTTTTGTAAGGGTGCCAGCTGCCACCATGAGGAAGTTGTGGGTTGTGCCTCTATTCCATTCTTTAAGACTTGGTGCACTGGGTGGGGAGATTCTGATCTTCCTTTATAATTTTTTTTCTTGGAGCTACTATCTAAGATGCTAGCTTTCATAGACAGGAAATAGCAAAAGTTTTCCTCCATCCTTCACCTTAGTCCAAAGGGTTAGTACTTAGTCCCAACACCCTAGTGATATCTACTCACAAATGTCTTGCCAACCACACATGAGTACCAATCATCATGTCATCTGATTCTTCTGTCTTTGCCAGATGTTCTCAACATTCTGAGGTTCATTCTACCAGATGTCCAGACATGACCATGCAGAAATGTCTTTGGACTCCCCATCCCTCTTTTTTGCCAGCTCTACATGTACCTAAGTCTGCTTTTTACTTTTTGTTTTTCTCTTCCTCTGATTAACATCTTTGATGAACTAATAGAACACTTCCTATCTAAAAAATAATCAAAGTACTTGTATGAATTACTGCTTATATTTTTATTTGGAAATAAAATTTCAATAATCTATGTAAGTTAAATATACCATCTATAATAGAGCACATAGAAATTGTACATCTAATTGTATAATAATAGTATATTGACATTAGATATTTCATACGTTACATTAACTCACTCAACTCATCAGTTTAACTAATGTTTTCTTTTTTTTCCATTCTTGTTTGTTTGTTTTGGTATATACTCAAGGGTACCTAGCTTGTCAAATGCCTTTTGTTAACTGTGTGATTTCCAAGATTTGATCATTTTAGATCTCCAGAATACTTAAGCTCATTAAAACTTGTTATTGTAATTTTGTGGGCTGCTGACAAATGATCTCATGAGAAAAATGCATTTGTTTTTGATAAACTAAGTTGAATGAGTTTGAAAGACTTAAAAATAATGAACTTTAAATTGTTGAAAAACTTAAATGCATAGTGTAAACTTTGGTAAGAATTTTGCTTTTGGTGGTTTCATGGTTTAGCTTATTTAAAAAAAAATTAAGTAAATAGCTACAGAACTTGAACACTTGGATCAGAGAGCTTTCAACATGAGCCACAAGAAAGGGTGTCACAGTCACTCAGAGGTCTGTGATTAGACTCTGGCAGCTGCTAGACTTTACTTATCTGTAAAACATGGGTAATAGTAATTTCTCTCTCACCCAAAAATCAAATGCGCTAACTCATGTAATGTACTTTTAATAATGCCTGGCATATAATAAGCATAAGATAAATGTCATTCCTAGGTATTATAGTAAATAAGAAGAGTGAAGGCACATGCCAGATCTTAAATGAGATTCCAATAGTGCCATTGGTGCTGTGCTGTGAGTCACAAACTACAGAACTGCTCTTCACTGGTTTCTGAGATAGCTCTAGCTGTCATCATTTGTGGTCGTATTGGTTTTGCACAGATAGCATCATTTCCATGGTGTAGTGGCAATTTATGGGATTGGCATTTTCCTTGTTCTGTGAGAAGAAACATGAGAACTAGAGTTGTACTTGGGTTTGCTACAATGTATTGAAATGATCTGTGGCCCACAAAGCCCCACTCTTTCTTTACATCTGTGTGTAGGTGTGCATGTGTATGTACATACATGTTCCTATGTTTGTGGGTATACATATGTAGCACATATTTCATGTAGAGGCACATGGTTGATAATCAGGATACTAGTTCTTCTATTGCTCTCCCCCATATTCTTTGAAGCAGGGCCTCTCTATCAAGCTGGAACTTGCTGATATCCCTACTTGAATGGGTCAGCTTTCTCCAGGATCTCCCACCTCTCTTTGTCTTCTGAGGCTGCAATTATAGGTGGATCAGAATACACACTAGGCATTTATATGGGTTCTGGAGATCTGAACTTATGTTGTCTCTTTGGATCTCAAGCATTTCTCCATCCCCACATTTGCAGTTTGAACTGATGATTGATGTCTATTTGGCAGTTGGATGTAATCATATCCTTCCACAAATCTCTCAAGGTACAGGGGTAGTGAGGATACAGTGAGCTAAGTAGGAGAGAAGGGATTTTAGAGAGGCTGAGAACTGCTCTAAGAATTAAGTCACTCTATGGCAGTTTAAGAAAGAGTGTTTTGTCTGGGAACTGTTAGGGTGGCTGAAATTTAAAGTATATTCATCCTTTTCATAGGCCATATACCTGCAAATGACTTCAGCTCTGTGTTCTGTGATTCACATTTATTTTATGAACGGGAATGGCTGTAGGCTCAAGTGACAGGATATGGAGCAGAAAAACCACAGGGGCTGGTCAGCATGGGGTCTGGCCTCATTCTGCATCTCCACAGACTAGTATGTTCAGGGAAGAGGTTTGGGGCTATATTGGGCTGAAATTACTTGTGATTTAAAGGTGTTGAGAAGCTTGGCTTCTCATTGTTCAAATAAGGTATATGTCAATGATGTCAACACAATGTGTTAAGGAAATGTCACATCTGTCTGCAATTGGCTACCTCTCAATAGGAGGAACACCCCTGGCAGCCTGGAGACCAGATGTTGCTTTCAATCAAATAGAGGTCAGACAGCTTTAGATGAAGAATGTTCACAACATCCCCTCCCCCGGATCCCCACCCCCTGAAGACCTAACAGAAACATAGGTGATTTTGGTGGAATAATGAATAGTTCTCATTATTTTTTGTTTTTCTCTAGTTCTAGAACAGAATAACCCAAATGATAGTGCTTGGTCCAACGATGATGTGGAAGCCATGATGAGTGAGGTTTCTATCTACTTGGCTATGGTCCACTCTGGGCTTTGCCACAGCAGCTGTTGAACCTGGAAGTACCACTGGCTCACTGAGACAGCACTTGAGCTTTTAAAGGAACAAGAACATTATCCTAGATGGTTTGTGTTAGCCTTTCCGGGTCTAACATGCTGTAATTATGGAGATATGAGGAACGCCTCATCTTGGCTAAGCCTCAGGACAGCCACCTGGAAAATCAGTAAGTACAGCGAAGTTTCCAGGGCAAAAGTCTCTTCTGGTATTTCCTATTAACCCACCTGGGGAAAGCAGGTTAAAACAGCTGGTCAGAAGCAAGCTCTGAGCCAGGGTGAGAAATGATGATTGTGAACTTAATTTTAAAGGACTCTTTAATTAAGCCTCTTAAATTCAAAAAAAAAAAAAAAAACCCATCCCTTGATTAACCCTGTGTGCTGGGGAAAAGGGGATCTAGGAATTAATAGTCATTCCAGGTGGGCTTGCTGCCTGCTCATTTTGAAAGATTTTTCTGTTTGAGTGACATTAAAACAGAAAAGGAAAAGCCATTCAGGCTCTTCCCAATTGTGTTTCGGGCCAAGACAGCATCCATATTGAACATCCATTAAATGAGAAGGTTTTTCTAGGCACTGCTATGGATGAATAGGACATTGTCGTGGGAGAAGTCACCCTGTTCTCAACATTTTCTCTCCTCTCTGAATACATGTCCTAGATTCTCCCTACACTGTAACTTGTTCCTCACTGATGAAGTTAGGGGAATATTGATCAGGGCATTTAAAAAAAACAACTGGATTGGTTCCTTTCTTCTTAGAGACCCACTTTTCTACAGAGAACATTTGCTTGGGTTTGCACTGCCTCATGTGGGTCTTCTAAATATTCTTTTATTTTTCATTTGGGCCTTTTGATGCTATACTTTTGGCAAAAGGACCATAGATGTCATTTTTAGTTAAAAATCAGCATATACTATTTTCTTTTGCATTGGCCTGTAGAACTAAGAAATTAGAAGAAATGAATGAAAATTGGAGGAGTGTATTATATTTCTGACAAGGTTTCTGGTGGGTCAAGATCTATAGCTTTTGGCATCAGCCTTAGTAGAAAGATGGGTCTGTGCCTTTGGTGATTTGTAAATGTTTAACCAAACTTCAAGTGGGTTTTTGTTAATAGTTATAGAGTTGGAATTTAGCTAGTTGGATTTGGGTAAGAATGTTTAAGAGGGCTGTATCATATATTGGACTTGGTGAATGGCAGAAATATGTGGACAGTCTGTGCACCAGCAAGAGGCTATTTGCATGGAGAATGACACAGGTGAGGAGGTTCCACTGGCCCATGTAGACCAGAGTGAGTGTGTCATGTCCCCCAGTGAGGGTCTGTTTGATGTGCAGCTGAGATGAATATGTCATATAAAAAGCATCCTCATCAGCCTTCTGGGCACTGGAAGTTAGAATGAGGCTAAAGGACGAGTGTGACACTGTGACACTGAGTTCTATGAAACATTACTAAATATTACCATCTTCAAAGTATTGATATCAGCATAGACAATGTCAGATCAGCTGATATGAATCCCGTTCTCTACCTGGGAGCAGGAAAAGGCAGTTGAGAGATCAACCCTGTGTCATGTGAGTGACCCATGGATTTGAGAGCACAATATGTTCAAGGAAATCCCAGAGAAGGT